CATAGTTTGAAAAACAAGTGGTTGAAAGCTCATGTCCTGAAGTTGGACAAGGGTTGAAATCCCTGCTCTTCTATTTTCTAACTGTAACCTTGGGCAAGGCACCTAGCCTCTTTCAGCTGCAGGCTTCACGTGTGACAAAGGAAATAATAAAAATAATACTATATCAGAGAGTTGTAGTAAGGATGAAAATGAGTTATAGCAAGGATTAAAATGAGCATTGTAAATCTGTAACCTCAGGCCAGGAATAGAAGGTGCCCAACTGATGTCAGTTGGTTCAGACCTTCATTTCTTGCTTACGTTACTGGTCCCCTTCCTGAAAAGGTCTTAGCTGACCCTTCTGCTTCTAGTCTCACCCTGCATGATGCCATAGGGATAATCTTTCTGAAATGCAGATCCAAGTTTATTAGTCCTCTGTTCAATTTATTAGCACCTACCTATGGTTTTGAGGATTACATATAAGCTTCTTAAAAACACATTTAAACATCTATCCCTCAGCCATATCTCTGGCCACTCCCTCTCCTAGTGCACACCCCACCTTACCCCATCATTCCTTCTCTTAAGTTTTACTAAACCATTTGCCCTGCCTCACTAATGCCTGCGTATATACTGATTTGTTTCAATTGTATATATCTTCCTACTTCTGGTTACCTTTTATGTAATATGAACTATAATTCAAGAGTTACTTCCTCTTAGAAACATTTCTGGGCCACAGCACTGACTGAGTAGAGTCCCTCCTCCAAGTCCCCTTTAGCACTTTCCACATACCTTTATAATCACCCTTTTTACACAGTCCCTGCAATCAGAGAAAAATCATCTATCTTGTTCATGAGACAGTGAGTAGCTAGAAGACAAAAAATTCATTTTCTATCTCTATATTCCCTGAGGGCACCTAATAAGTACTCAATATGTATTTAATGAATGAATGGAGGTTTCTAATGTGGAAATATTCCATTCCAATTCTGCTATGCTATTTTCCTGTTTTTACTGGAGAAATAGATGGCTATTTTATTATGCTAGAACTCCAAAGTAGTAAAAACATTTTTTCTTTACCTAGCATATTTATTGTCAATTAAAAATATAGTCACTAATCTTAACAGAATTTCCTGTGCACTATTTTCAGTTAAGAACAGGCAATTGTCTACTAAGAATATTGTATTGACATTTGCCCTTTCAAATCCAACAATGTCAAAACAAATAGAATTATGATTTCTTTCAATGCTTGCCTACTGAGATAGTGTTAACAAAATCTGAAAACAATTATTAAAAACTTACTCAAACCAACTTCTGGATTAGTTCTTTTTTATGCAAAATGAATGCAAAAGCCCTGAAAATTCAAATAAACTCCATGAAATTGAGATACTATTGATGATTTACTAATTATGAAAGAAGAAAAATACTAGTACACATCTCAATAGTTTTCTTTCCCCACTAACAAAATAACTTGTAAATTTTATCAAATGACCAAAAATGATTTATCCTATAAACAGAACAATAATCAAAAGATATAGCTTTCTGCCCTAGCTGGCATAGCTCAGTGGATTGAGCGTGGACTGTGAACCAGGCATCACAGGTTCGATTCCCAGTCAGGGCACATGCCTAGGTTGCAGGCCATGGTCCCCAGCAACCACACATTGATCTCTCTCCCCTCCCCTTTCCTCTCTAAAAATAAATAAATAAATAATTTTTTTAAAAAAAGAAGAAAAGTCAAACTTAAAAAAAAAAAGATATAGCTTTCTAAGCCCTGGTTGGCATAGCTCAGTGGATTGAGTGCGGGCTGCGAACCAAAGTGTGGCAGGTTCGATTCCCAGTCAGGGTACATGCCTGGGTTGCAGGCCATGACCCCCAGCAACCGCACATTGATGTTTCTCTCTCTCTCTTTCTCTTGCCCTTCCCTCTCTAAAAATAAATAAATAAAATCTTTAAAAATATATTAAAAAAAGATATAGCTTTCTGTACTGCAAAGGCAAATAATAACAATTTGACTGAATTTCTTTTTATAAGACCAGAGCACTTTCTGTCTCCAATTTTATTGTACTTTATACCCAACTCAAGTTTTCCTGAGCTGTTCAATTTATTTTAAATACCTCACATATTAGATATTATTTAAAAGTTATTGTATGCTAACAACCTACTATTTACCTGGAATTTATTATAAAAATTTTCTAGCAATATGGATCCCGAGAAGTTAGATTTTAAATTTTTCGAGTTTTGTATTACTTTTCATACATCTAGGTAAAATATATAAAATTGTGAAAATACAGCCCTGGCTGGTATAGCTCAGTGGATTGAGTGTGGGCCTGAAAACCAAAGGGGTCACTGGTTTGATTCCCAGTCAGGACGCAGGCCTGGGTTGGACACCAGGTCCCCAGTAGTGGGTATATGAGAGGTAACCACACATTGATGTTTCTCTTGATCTCTTTCTCCTTCCCTTCCCCTTTCTAAAAATAAATGAATAAAATCTTTTTTAAAAATTGTGACAGTACTGTTCTTTTTTGTTTGATTTTTATTTTTAGGAGTGGTATTAAATGAACATCTGAAAGTTAACAAACGATAATTATACTGGTGTGCTTTTGAAGATATATATGCTTATTTGTAGATGTTTCTTTTAAATTTGTAACTTCTGGATTATCTACAATTGGAAAGTCTGCTTACTACTTTGCCTATTAATTTTATGAACAAATTGTTCAAACTAATTGCTTTAGTTTCTCCATATGGAAAACAGGAATCATTCTATTGGTAAGCATTTCTAGGAAAATTTTAATATTATCTGTCTCATTGCCACATAGCATAAAACAAGGCAATCAAAGTTCTGTACAAAATAAACATTTAGGTAGCAATGTAACAAATCTGGTGATATTACAATATCAGTGTAAGCCCAGGAATATTAAAAATAAAACTCTGAAATGCTTAATGATTATTAATATAATTTCTTTCATAAATATAGTCTTTAAAAACAATTAGAAGCCTGATTCCTGTTGGATATAATTTTACATAATAGTGATATAAAAATGTAAGTTTATTGGTTTTTATTTTTTTGAAAAGCTGAATCCTATGTAGTATATATATATACATATATATATAGTGAAATGAAATGGTAAATGCAATAATCTTAGAAAATTCTAATTCTGCAAAAATGATTATATTAAAACCCTGTAAAATCATATAAAATCTTGAAACTTATATTTTGCATAACTTTTTATAAATAGTTGAATAAACTGGATTTACATCTGTAGGTTTATAATTCTTTTTGTCTTCATTTAACATCAAGTAAGTTGATAATCACTCTTATTCCAAATATGATGGAGTGAATAAAACTGCACATTGAAAAGATCTTGAAAATGTGTTACATACAATTAGACAGTGTTTTGGAGACTTTCTTACTTTGCAGCAACTCCATTAGCCTGTATGTGAAACACATTAAAGGCATTAAATTTGAAACCTGGAATTGAGCAGAGGTAGGCTTGAATCTTGAGCTTACCACATACTACTTTAGTAGTAGTAAAGAATCTTGTAGTAGATTCTTTAACCTCTCTGAATCTGTTTACTCAGATATAATGATGAGTAACAATAACTGTCTACTATCATGATTGGTGATGGAATGAGATTATATGGCCTAGCACATTGTGAGTGACTAAATTAGTTTCATTCTTAGCTGTCCTCATGTGGTAACAACCCCCATTTGACTCTGGGAAGAGATGTTTGTTTTTTCACCTAAATACAGCATGTTTCTTGACTCTCTATAGCAACTTCTTTAAAAATAATCCACTGATGTGTTTATTCAACTACTAATTCTGAAGTCAGTACCCAGTGAGTTATTTTGACGAAGAGCATTAGCCGATTTAAACAAACTGATGAAAAGTTATTTCAGTGCAGTTTTAGGGGTGACTGGTTTATTTTTCTCTGACAGATAATTGCTATCTTCTACCAAAAATTACATTTAATTATCATATTCTTTAGGTGGGTTAGTCTGAAACTTGACATAAAATATACTGACAGGATGAAATAAAAGCTCTGAAATAGTGCAAAGTTCGGAAAACGAGGTCAAGCAAGAAACAATTACCATAATCATGGTCAGAAGACTGATCAGAATACATTTACCTTGATGAATTAGAGTATCTGCAGATGTAGGTAACACAATTACCTATATCTCGAAAAATTAACAACGGCCAGAAAGGGAAATACCGGCTAATCAGAAGGTTCAGAAAGGCATAACATAACCTTTACCGGAGATGATTTTTTTTCACCTTCCCTACCTCCTGTAATGAAGTAATGCTGTCTAACGCAGTCATTTTTCAAAGAGGAAAATATGCCATCCAACAGCTCTCAAATAGGTTACTGACAAGCACCGCAGGCGTTTCTTTAAAAAATTTGTGTACAAATGATTCGAATGTCATTCCACCTCATACCCATTCCAAAACCTAAAAATCACTTTCAAGCCTAATTCACGGCGCGTTAGTGATTTACAAAGGCCATGATTTCGAGGCTGGAGCATTGGTGCATTAACTACACATCTTCCTGCAAATCAGCGATTTTAGGGCTAAGACCGAGAAGTAACTAGCTAGCTATGGATTTATTTCTTCCTAATTTAAAACCAGTCGTTTTCCAAAAGGGATTCGAGACAATTGTTAATGTTTTCAATTGCGCAGTCTCCAATTTCTACGCGAATCCCCTGTCCTCTTCGCGCCGTCATCCCGCTCCTACCACGCGAAGCCCGGGTCGTTTCGCCACAGCACCTCCCTCCCCACAGTTTAAAGGGCCACAGGCTCGCTTCGCTGAGCCTGGGCGCTAAAGACGTCGCTGTTCTCGGTAGCCGCTACAGCTAGAGCGGTCAACCACTGGCCACCGTCTTCTCAACTCATCGTCCCGCCTTCCAGGTCCACCCAAGCCAATAGAAGGGGCCATGTGGGGAAAAAGACCAATAAGAGATCGGGGCGGAGGGGGGCATTGTTGGCCTCCCGCCTTGGAATCTGGGCCTCCGCCTCCGTTACCTTGGAGCCGAAGTCGCCACACAGCTACCAAACGAGAGCTGCTGTCCCCGCCCCTACTCCAGCTCTGTATTCAAACTTACCGCACCCCAGCAATCTCTGCTTCCGTACCCCGAAAACGTCTGCTCCCGCACCCCGACAACCTCTGCTCCTACCCCGCAGCCTCCGCAGCGTCCTCAGGAGCCAGGTGCCCACTGTGGCCGCCAGACGCCGAGGGACGGCGGAGAGTTTGGTCCACAGAGTAGAGGCAAGGAGGTGTGACACCTCGTAGGCTCCACGGAGGAGCTGGGCAGGTGGAGGGTGGGCTTCTGGGTGGGCGTGGAGACAGTGGGAAGTTGAGTACAACGAGGTAGGACTGGAGTGTGGAGGAGCTGAAGATACGGCGTTCGGGAATGGGAGCGTGCGAGTGGAGTTGTTGAAGCGGGAAGGTGGAAGGGTTAAGGATGTGGGGGGATTTGGGGATGTGGGGAAAAGAAAGTCCTAGGAAATAATTGAAGTGTCCGCATCTGGGATAGGCCCGGGAGGAGGGGAGGTTGAGGGACAGTTGCGTGATTGGGAAATTAGAAGGAGGAGCTGGGGAAGGACTGTTTTTTGTTTTTTTTGTTTTTGGTTAGGATCTACAGAAGGGAGGGCATGCTGGAGGATGTAGAGACCGGGTTAGGCGTTATTTTAAAACCCTAGAGACCTGGGAGACGACAAGACCAAGAAGGAGGAGGCTGTGAGGCTGTTGGTAGCTATGGGATAGTAAATAAGAGATTAAGACTATGGTTAGAGTAGAAAGGTTCTTAAGAGTGGAAAATAAAATTTTACACATTTTTCAGGTATGGGGTGAGGGAAGGAAAGACAATGGGCATGAAGTGTGCCTTCTTGGCATAGATGAGTTGGCAAGGCTGCTTAGATGGTGTTTCAAGTTGGCAGGACCACTGGTCAATGTTGAAGAATCGCGAAGAGTGCGAGTCCAAGTTACCCGCGTTTAAACCCTTCTCATTCACTTTGCAGCCTTGAGCAAGTTACTAACATCAATTAGTAACAATTTACTGGCTAGTAACGAATTGGTAGCGTCATATATATTTTTTCCACTTGGGAGTGGAAATAGTAGATATTGTTGTGAGGGTTCATTTTATAGAGATGTTCGTTCCTGTACTTGGGTAAAGAAAAAACTGGGTGGTTTTGTTAAAGTGGATTTGTTACTAGAATTTGGTTTATGTGAGTTATTTGATGGGGCTACGTTGACTGGCCATTTTCTTAATCTTTTTAGTCTTGGACGCCCCCCCACAAAAGACTGAAGAAAGTGTTGGTTATTATCCCTGGAAAAATACATTTGGGCGCACGCATGCATAAATAGGTATCCTTTACCTTTGGATTCAGGTTAAAAATGGATTAGATATTTCTTTGGAATCAAAATTTATCATTTAAGTGATTTGTGTGTGGGAGGGAGAGACATGTATTTGGAAAACAGTAAAACTGAAAAAATGTGTAGTTCAAAGGTTTTTTTTAAGATTTATTTATTTTAGAGAGAGAGGAAGGGAGGGAGAAAGAAAGGGAGAGAACATGGATGTTCATGGATAGTTGCCTCTCCCAAGCCCCCATCTGGGTACCTGGCCTACAAACCAGGCTTGTGTGCTGACTGGTGATTCAACCCAGACTTTTTGGTTCACAGGCCAGTGCTCAATCTACTGAGCCACACCAGCCAGGGCCCAAAGGTTCTGTACTGTTTTTTCTTTAGCGTGGTTGTTATTTTTAATTATACTTTTTCAAGTTGTAGTTTCACATTCAATTTTATATTAGTTTTCTAAGTATTTCATTTTAAGATTTTGTTGCACGTTGACTTCACTTGATCTTAACCAAAAGGCCAAGAAGTGATTGACTTGAATGTTTATCCAAATATATAATAAATAATAGTTTGTTTTGATTTGTAAGTTGGCAAAGTATTATTTCAAATATGAAAAAGTAATGTGTTGGCTAAAAAGTTCCTTTTTTTTTTTCTGTAAGATGGCTCTAGTATTAGTTGTCTTTAACTTAATTCGAAACAGTTTTGTTAGATCGTATTGTGACAGCTGTCATATCAGTGTGCATTTAAAAAGAAAACATCAGAATTGGTGAATTTTTGTGTAGCCATGTTAATATTGAAGGTGGATGAAAATAAGCTACATTTTCAGCACATTATGCTTTATTATTTCAAGAAAGGTAAAAAACACAACTAAAATGCAGACAAAGATTTGTGCTGCATATGGAGAAGGTGCTGTGACTGATCAAATGTGTCAAAAGTGGTTTGCAAAGTTTTGTGCTGGAGATTTCTCCATGGTCAGGTAGCCCTTGAGGTTGACAGAGATTAAATCAAGACATTAATTGAGAACAATCAACGTTATATCACATGGAAGATAGTCGACACACTCAAAATATCCAAATCAATAAAGTTATTGGTGAAAATGAAAAATGTGTCTTTTATTTTATCCCAAAAACTAAATGGATTTTTGGCTAACCCAGTAACTGGTGACTTCGGAAGAGAATTTTGTGTGTGTGTGTCAGAGTCACATCTCTTTTAACAGTCATGTAACTGTAATTCTATAAGACACGTTAAAAATCCATTATGAGAAAGATGCTACCCTTTATCCTGGTTCTTCTGCCTGTCATTTTTCATCTCCTTAGTGGGATCCTCCTCCTCTACCCCCATATAATTATTGTGTTTCCTCATAATTCAGTCTTCTGCTTTCTCTTCACTCTGTGTTCTTTTCTTGGCTGGGTTCATCCTTAGGCTTCTGGTAGTGTTGACTTGCACCATCTATATTTTATTAATGTGCTGTCCATTTTTTTCTCTTTCTCCAGGAACTCTTGGATTAGCTTCAGATTTATGTAGCTAACTTCTGCTATTTTCACATAGATTTCCCACAGGCATTCTAAACTTTGTATGCCTGATAGTGAACCGATAACCACCAAGCCCATCCTATTGAATAGTACCATAGTCACCCAATTTTGGAAGCTCTAAACTTTGGAATTCATGTAGGTTCTGCTCTCTTCTTATACTCCCCACATATAATCCATCGCCAAGTCCATTTTATTTTACTTGATAAACATTTCTGAATTAATTCTGCACTATATCTCTAGTTAGCCTACCTCAGTTCAAACTGCTATTACTTGCCACTTAATTTCAAGACCAGCTGTCATCTTCTTTCAGCCTTTTTGCCTTCCAATTCCTGGGTGAGAGAAGGAGCTTTATAAATGTCAGATCTGATCATATATTCCTAGAGAAGATCCTTTGTTTCCAACTGTCTTCTTATTATGACATAAAGATCTTCCCTGTAATGGTTTCTTCCTCTTATTATTACTTTGCCACTACCTTTCAGCCAGTGCAGCCATTCTAAACCAGCATTGTCCAATAGAAATATAATGTGAACCATATCCATAATTTAACATTTTTTTCAGTTGCCATTCAAGAAAATAGTTAATTTCAATATATTTTATTTAACCCAACATATCCAAAATGCTACTTCAACATGTAACAAATATAAAAGATTATTAAAGAGATACTTTGTATTCTTTTTTTATGTACTGAGTTTTCAAAATCCCATGTATATTTTATACTTACAACATATTTCAATTCTAACTAATTACATTTCAAGTGCTCAGTAGCCACTATATTGGACAGCACAGTTGTAAACTATCAGCAGTTGGATTACACGCGATAGTGTATGTCAGGGAGCAAACCAGTGCTTGTTCTCAACAGCACTTGGCAAACAGCAAGCCATCCACCATTTGCAGGTACTACCAGAAGGGCTACCGCACCTACGAGACTCTGCAGATACAATCACAGGAGCCACTCCGCTCCAGGTGGTGGTAGCCTGGGCTCTCCCAGGTTGACCTTCCCAGGTTTCCACAGTCCTCACTCCCCTTCTTATCTCACTAACTTACATGTGCCTGAGTAACTTAGAGACCGAAATCCCTCTGGCATGGCAGAAGGAAAAGCTTCCACAAGTGCAGTGAGTAATCCAGGAGGCAGCGATCCCTAAGAGCAGACAGGAGATGAAGCCTCATTGATACCGCAATGCAGGCAGGAATGGCCTTGATTACTTAGAAACCAGGAGCTTCATGCTTTTTACTTTTTACACGTTCTGCTTCCTCTTACTGAAATAGGGCCTTCCCTCACAAACTACCTTCTTTTACTAACCTTATCTATCATCCCACCCCCCAAAACACAAACATACAACTCAAATCATAGTTGTGCTTAATCTCTACTAGTACCTAAAGACTCATTTTAGGATTTAATGCCTCTGGAAACCTTTCCAAATTATCTTCTGTCCTCTAATCTTAGTTTGGAGTTTACTTAGCCTCTTGTACTTTATCGTTAGTACTTACACTCTTGTGTTACCATTCTCTTCTTGGCTGGGAGTTTCTTAATGGTAGGGGATCACTTGTGTCTTACTTATTTTTGTGTCTCCAGCTCTATCTATAGTTCAGTGCCTGATACTTAGTAGGTATTCAGTAAAGACCTTATGAATGAATGAATATTTTGTAATGTTTTTATTTGACTAACTAAACTTTAGCAATGTGTGCTATAATTAAGATGCCTTAATTTGACCCATTGTTTCAAAATACTGTTTAAGAGAGTCTGATTAGGCCTTAAATTTTAAGTCTAGTAATTACTGTGATCTGACCAAGAGTCTAGGAAAGCATATTTAAAATTAAGCATAGTATTTTTCTAAAGAGTACGTGTCGTGTATACAAATGTAAGACAAGGAAATGCTTTAGAAATATTCCGGAACAAATAAGAGGAATGGAAAATTTTATTTCTACTCATTTTTCTCCTTTGTAGAAGAGAAACAGTTGAAGTTTTCATGCAGCAATATTATTTTTACCTTTATCTCATCTTTGATTATTTTTCTTTTTGAGGAGAGAGATCTCCTTATTTATATTTTTCTCCCTTAGTTTATTTTTATTATACTCATCTAGTTGCCCATTGTGTAAGTTCTCTTGCTGGCAGCAGAGGCAGTGAGGCAGCAATATTTTCTACGAAGAAGCTGAACACAGGGAAATAACAGGAACAGTTATTTGGTTTTATACAGTTTTTTTTTCCTTAAAGCTACAATCTTTCATAAAGTCACATAAATCAGAGGGTCATTATGATATTCCATATACATTGGACTCTGTAGTTTAGATTTACATTCTGAATCATGTGGAACTGTATATAAAGAAGACATTTTGGTACTGAAAGAGCTTAATCTTTTTTTCTGACCGGTTTTGGGGGACCTATACTATTT